TCTAATAATAGTCTGTTGATATGGAGAGGAAATTCAAATGGTGCCAAAAACCAGCTTTCAAGTAGTAATAAGATGAGCAAAAAGGCTGGTTCAGGGAAAGAGGAAAAGTGGGCAAGTGTGAATGAGAAAGAGAGACAGAAAGAGACAAGCAGCTTGCATTCTGTTGCCAATTAAGTGCTTATTATTATGAGAGCTAAAAACTCTTCAGAATGAATAAATGGGTTAAATAGAATGGGGATTACCATTTAAGTAGAGCATTCTAACTTTGCTTCAGATCCTGGGAATTCTATAAAATCACAAAGGAGAGAATTAGATGAACAAAATAGTTTAATTTAATGGGAAATTTATTTCAGAAGAGGAGCTAAGGAAAATTTCTGGAGTTAAGTAATAACATTTAGAATTAGGAGACGTTTATGTAAAAGGAATGTCCAAGGATAAAGTTAAGTAATAAGAATTTTCAGAAAGACCTAGAAAAATCTGAGATAGAGACCTGAGGCACTTTACAAAGAGGAACAAAGAAAAATGTAAGCTCTTTATAGGAAATAATTAGGATAGAAAAATTTGACCTAGATTAAAGCAAAATATTACATATTACTGAGTACAGGCACAGGATCACATACACACACACACACACACACACACATGCATGAACGCACGCACTCACGCACGCATGCACGCACGCACACACTTCTTATACTCCTTGCTACCTTTAGGCTCCAGAGACTGAGATCAAAACTTTATTTCTGATCCTTTTCTAATCTAATTAAAACATGAAATGTTGCCTATTGTCCGTTATCACTTTATGCATATTATAGGTTAAATAGAAAAATTAATATTAATTGAGGGTGTCACTTCATGGTAATATTTATTTTACTAAGTCATAGGAACAATGATTATTAAAGCAAAGCATTATAAAAGGCACCACTTAAAATTATATGCAGTGCTGCAAAACACTAAAAGAAAAAGCCCAATCCTTAGCTAGTGCTATCATGAAAAGAAGTTTTATGAACTCTCACATTCGATCTCTATTTCAGAAATTGAATTATGTTACAAAATATTTTCTCAGAATATGAAAGGCTAATTAAATTGTAAATAGAATTTAAAAAATTTTAAATCAAACCAAAGAAAGAAAATTTCCAATTATGAAATTTCCTCGGCAAACATCTATTGTGTTTTAAATTCTTTATTAATTTGATTTGAATCCTTTACCCAACCTAAGTGGCTACAATTTTTTTCTTTTAAATTTAAATTTCATAATGAAGAGAAGAGCAATGTACATTCCCTCACCAGATTGTACATGGCCTATTTATTAATGATGTGTCATTCCATATGGATTTCTTCTCTTTTATTTATTACTACAAGAAAGGATTGTCTTTAATAACTTAGCAACTCTGGGTTAACCAACTTGAAATGCAAACCTCAACAGTCACAGTACTGCAGGTCTGCCACATACAATGGTTCTAGAAGGACCAGGAAAGACAGACTTTTGTGAGGAGCATGCACCAACTGTGACCCACAAATAGGTAATCCACTGAGGTTGGGGTTAAGGTTCATGGAATAATTTGGAAATTATTCTCAGTTTGGACAGCATTTATAAAGCCTGAGAATACAGCCTTTAATTAGAACTCAACTTCCAAAGCAGCCAGTCCCTTGAAGTTCCAGAGCTCAGTTCTCAGCAAAGTAAAAACAGCCCCATCATATGGATAGCTAAGGCCCCTATAAATTATTCCTTAAATGTACAACCAAGAAGGTAGTAGGCATCAAAGACCCAGTAGCCACTGTCAAGAGCAAATAAAGAAGCCAGCTTTGACAGAGTTACTCTCCACTTCTGGGCCATGCAGTCAAGCTGTCCCATGGAAGTTTGGAAAAAAAGAGTGGGTTGTGCTGTAGAAAATATTTCCATACCCCAGCCAACCTCCTTTTAGTGATGATCTCTCCATCCAGCCAACCTCACACGACAGTGGGAACACTACCATCAATTCCATGAGAGCCAGCTGTCTGCCTCATCCATGGTGCTCAGAAAGCCACACAGGAATCCTGGAACAGAAGCTAAGCTCTAGGCCTGACTCATCACAGATGTTCCCCATCTCTTCCATAGAGCTCTGAGCCATTCTGTCTTGCCAAGGCCTGCCTTTTGTTATTACTGAGGATTTATGTTCCCCCCTTCCTCCCTCAATGTGCTCAATGCTGAAATAAAAAGAAAACACAAGGCCTCCTAACTTCAGTTTTAAGAGAACTAGACATTGTACATTGCAGAAATAGCCAAGGACTCTGTAGGGAAGACTAAAGAAGGAAAGTCAGGCGCCATACAGTTCGGTGTCAGGGAGCTAGATTAGAAGTCCATACCATAATAACAAACTTTCTAATGTTATCTAGAATTGAGTCAGGTTTAATGATGATATAAAGTATTGTACTTCTACTCATCTCACTCTTTTTTTTTTCCAGTAGTTCCAATCAAATCACCTTTGTCTAGAAAAGTGTGGTCAGAAAAAGAAGAGTTTAAGAATTTGTAAACCAAATGCCAAGTCAGATGCTCTCACAAATACATGGAAATGCTTACCAGCTCATGTTTCCTGCCTGAGTGTCATTGGCCTATTAACTATGGTATAACCACTCATCAGTCAGTGTTCCCAGCAGTCCTCTCAGAGGTGCTGAGAAATCTCCCTATTTCTCCATTCTTTCAGGGCACATTAGCAGGAAACTAAATATTTGTTTCCAAATACTCCAGTGTCTCGTGGCACAGACTACACCATTATCTCAAAAAAGAAAATTATTTCCTGCAATAGTTTTGATCGGTGTCCACTTAAGCAGTAAAGACAACAGAGTGATTCATTTGAAATCCATTCTCTTAAGCTTCACCAAACAGCATATACAGACTTAACACATTAGCCCAAACCTCCATACTTTTATGCAACGGGGATTGTACTTTTGTTTTGTTTTGGTTTTTTTTTTTTGCTCTAAGATATCTTATATACATTTGCCTTGTGTGGGATTTGGGGGAAAAACATTAGGGAAATAAATCAATTAACTAAAAGACAAACTTACAATTCTGTTATAGCAAGGGGTAGGGTGAGGGAGAGAGCTAGAGAAAGAGTAAAAGGCAGATAGAGAGCACAGTCATGTTTCCCAACAGTTGCAGTTAATACTGTTTTTCTCTTCTAGTGTTCATAAATTCTGGTTACTAAGACTCACAGATAATATGCCCCAGTATCTCCAAACCTTGTTTTACAACAGGAGAGTCACTATTTAGATAAAAGGTAGTCAATATATTTCAGGATAAATGTTTGCTTGAAAGGATACTTATTTGATTCTTTGTGAGGGGAATCTATATAAATATTGCTGTTTACTAATTTCTGAGTTTAATTTCCATCTTTCCTGTTCTCTTCTCTGAGACAAAAAGTATAGAAAAAAATCAAGCTGATTCCAAAATTGAGCTGGAACACATTCATTTATATGGCTCTTGTTTAAAAACTGGACGTGCCTTTCAATACTGTCTTGATTGTTATTATTTGTTATCTGATGAATCAGATGCATCCTCTTTTTTAACTCAGTTTCATTTTTAGCGAGGCACAGAAAGAAGTTAAACATTATTGACAAGAAAGGAATGGTTCAAGTTTCAAAGTGTAATATCTAGCCCAAGAAAAGGTCTATATTATAAAGTCCTGTGACATGCTGAATTAACTTTAAAGAAAACAACACCTGATTCTCAGAATTGGTTCTCCTCTATCTACTCAGTAAAACTTAGATTAAGCCCTGAGATGTAGTCACCCCGAGTAAGAACTTCAAGTTCCAGCTACAACTCCAGCTATTAGAAAGGTAGAGATAGGAGGATCATAATTTGAGGCCAGCCCAGGAGGAGGTGGAGAGTATGAGACCCTACCTGAAAAATGGCTAAAGTAAAAAAGACTGAGGGAATGGCTCAAATCAAAAGTGCTTGCCTAGCAGGCAAGGCCCTGAGTTTAAATGCCACTATGAAAGATTTACTCTTATGCTCTTCCACAAGTGTGGCATATTGCTGATTTTACCTCTGCATTTGCTGAATGGGATACCTCACTATTCTAGTTCATCTTGACTCCAATTCAGGGAACATAGGGATGGGAACATAAGCTCCAGAGAGTCTCAAGCAGAAACGCACACAGATTCAGCATTCCAAACAGCACATCCAAAGTACACATAGCCATCTTGGAGCATAACAAAACAATACTGATGCAATCTTAGGAGAGAAAAAGTACCAAAACAAATATGAAAATGATCACAAGATACTAACTGTAAAAACAGATTTAAAAGCTCTTAAATAGGAAAATAAGAACAGTAAGAGCATAATCAAGTCATAATTTATTGTCCTGATGCTCCAAACTACTTTCTTTTTCTTTTTTGGTCATTTGTAGGGCTTAAACTCTGAACCTGGGCTGAGCTGTCCCTGAGCTCTTCAGCTCAAGAATAGTGTTCTACCACTGAACCACAGCACCACTTCCAGTTTTCTGGTGGTTAATTGAAGATAACAGGCTCATAGACTTTTCTGCCTGGCTGGCTTTGCACTGAGATGCTCAGATCTCAGCTTCCTGAGTAGCTAGGATTACAGGAATGAGCCACCGGTGCCTGGCTCCAAACTTCTTTTTAAGTGTTAAAGTGTACATTTACTTAGAGTTGTCTGATTTCCACTGAGTGGATTTCCACTCCAGAAGGAGCTAGATTTGGACTGAATAACCCTGAGAATCAAGTCCCAAACTTACAGGGCAATCTTCCTTTCTAAAATACATAAATAAATAAATAATTAAATGTATAGGTGTTGACAAACAGCAGTATTTATAGCCTAGTTTTAGCAATGCAATTTAAAGTACCAATGAAAGTACTTTCTGGTAAACTCTGCTAATTTACAGAATTGTACAGACATGTACATAGCATGATTGAGAGTGCATAATGGTATGCATATGGTGAGAGCACATGAACATAATCAAATCCCCAAAACACTCAAAGTTTCTCTGAAGAGAAATACTTACTTCTGATGAGTTCACCATCTGAAGAATTTCCCCAAATGGACTGCTCTTGCATCTCTCCATGTGTGAAGCAGCTTTTGGTAGCTTGATTGATATCTTTCTCAGTATTTTCTTTATTACATTTTTCTAAATATAAAAAGAATATACACTCATCATCGTTGAATGTTACATGTTTTTCTCTAATTTTAGTTTGCAAATTTTTCTAAAGCTTCTAAATATGTCCTAACTAAAGGAAAGAGAAAAAGGAAGGAAGGAAGGAAGGAAGACAGGCAGGCAGGCAGGGAGGCAGGCAAGCAGGCAGGCAGGCAGGGAGGCAGGCAGGCAGGCAGGCAGGGAAGCAGGGAGGCAGGCAGGCAGGGAGGCAGGGAGGCAGGGAGGCAGGGAGGCAGGGAGGGAGGAAGGGAGGGAGGAAGGAAGGAAGGAAGAGAGGAAGGAAGGAAGGGAAGAAGAAGGCAGGCTCTGGAAAATAGGAATATTGTGTGATTTCTAAAACTATAGAAGTATTTTCAAAGTACAAATTAGGAAAACATTCAAGAACTTTATGGAGAAACTCCAAAAGCAGATACTTGGGCAAACATTCCAAACCCATGTTCTTAGGGAAAACATTTGGGAGATAAGAATTTATAAGCTTGATTAGATATATAATGTGAAATATCTCAAAGTCCAAGTGAGAAAAGTACATAGGTAATTAAAAAACAAGATTAGTAAGTAAAAGTAGGCATTGAAATTTTATGTAATCAGTGCCTAAGCAAAGTATTAGAAGGAGTAATAAATTTGTGCACACCATGTCAATGAACTTGGAAAGCTATGTAAAATAACAGATGTGTGGGCTCCATCACCAGTAATTCAATTGGGGGAGCAACTGATTCCACTGCACTGAATAACTGGTGAATAAACATCCAAAGAAGAGAATAGAAAAAGGGGAAATAAGAGGGAAACAAAGTTAATTTACAAATTGAGGTGAGTTTAATTAATTGAATAACAAGATGAGCAAAGAAACAAACCAGAGGTCTGTATAAGGAAGATAAAGATGACAGAATTGTTAGTATGGATTAGACTAGGACAAACTGGAGATCAGAAGAATAATTTATTTATTATAAATAAGTACTTGCACACACATATACACATATAATACACAGTAGATGTTTAAGTATTGTACTAGGTGATGGGGACATAATGGATTATGAGACACCAGCCAGGCCTTCATGGAGCTTATAGTCTAGTTGATGAGTTGCTAAGTTCAATGTACTTAAATTTGCAATCCAGAATAAAAGGTCATCTTTATAAACTAGATTGATGAAGCTACAAGAGAGAGTATATTAATGAGCTACAAGAGTAAGAATATTAAGAGAAAAGTACCAAGAAGTAGCTGTACAATTCGGGAGGAGTTAGAGAAGTAGGGTGATGTCAAGCCATAGAAGCAAAAAAAGGAAAGATATTCAAACAGAAGTTGTTAGTCACCCGTGTTAAGTTTTCCAGTGCAAGGAAAAAATTTCTACACATGTAAAAATTTCTCATGCATCATGGGGATTTCACAATTGAAAAGTTCTGCCATGAAACACATTTCAGCACATGAAAATAGATGAACATGACCTGAGAACAAAATACAGAACCCAAGATCTCAAAAAAAAAGAATCTTGAAATCTAAGTATTTTTACAAAGAAAAGCCATAGTCAAACACTAGTAAAAATAAATTAAAGCATACTAAATGAATATGTTCTAGATTTATGTAAATTTACACAAAATTTTCATAGGGACAAATGTGCTCTTCGTGATATGTGCTAGCTTCAATTAAAATCTTTACTCTTTTAAACGACTCCAGAAATTTTTCTACTGCTACAGTCTTATCAACAAGAGATTTTTATACATGCTCACTAGTACACATGAACTAGCTCATCAGCAGAGTCCTACAAACTCACTGCTACTGTTATGTAGCTGACTGCCGCCAGGTGTCATGCTAGTAGCCTTGATTCAATTAGTAACTTTAATTGAAGCTGAATGAAATTAATTATATAATTTTGAGCTGTTCAAGTTTAATTCCATTAAAATTAATTCATGAAACCAAGGCATTATGAAGCATTGCTGACTAAAAGAAACTGGGTATGAATAAAGCCTCTAGACACACTTGACTCATATTTGAATCATGTCCAATATTCAAGTGCTAAACACAAACCCTCTCAACTCTGTACTGAGCAAATGAAAATACCATGTGGTCCATACACACAATTTACAATTACATAATCCACTGGTAAGGGGAAAATAAGGTTCTTGAGACACGGAATTTTTATTAAGGGGATATCAGAATCACACTTTATTGTATGTTTCCTTATCTTGAAAATCCTAGAATTGGAAGGTCCCATTGTCCCTCTGATGTAAAAAAAAAAGGGGGGGGAAGTATCATTCTGTCTCATTCTAATCAGAAAATAATAAAGTGTATAGAATTACTATTTCATCGCAATCATCAGTTTATCCAACTTTGCTTCCTTTGAAAACTAAACATTTTGGCTTGGAAAGTTGATCTCTGGCTTTTGCTATGATACCCAGCCCAAACCAAGGCTTAGAAAAAGATGCCAACTTAAAAAAAAAAAAAAAAAAAAAAAACAAACCTAAGCTGGGCGCCAGTGGCTCACGCCTGTAATCCTAGCTACTCAGGAGGGTGAAATCTGAAGATTGCAGTTCAAAGCCAGCTGGGGCAGGAAAGTGGCTCAAGTGGTAGAGCGTTTGCCTTGAGCTGAAGAGCTGAGGGACAGCGCCCAGGCCCAGAGTTCAAGCCCCACCACTGACCAAAAAAATATAGTAATAAAAAAATATATAAATAAATAAACCTACTTGCTAAATTTCTATTTATATAAATAAAGCTGTGACCCACTTGAATACTATGAATTTCTACTATATGTATATTATTTTATCAGTGCTCCTTTGTAACATTTAATATGTTGCAGTATCTCAGTTTAATGCAATACCCACATGGTCACCTTAGAAATGATGCGTATTTACATACATCACTAAAGAAATGCACTGAAGAGAAAACAGGATTTTACTGAGAAGCAGTTACAAGATGATAAGACATCCAAGCACACAACCAACCTGGCTACAACTTTCAATTAATTGAGTCAACCACAACTCATTGAGCTGATATCATCTAAAGCAGATTTCTGTCTCAATAACATAGGTTTACTGTGTCACTTGTGAACTGAGAAACAGAGAGCTCAGTCTTGACTTCAACAATTCAATTCCTGATATACACAGTTTTGTTCCTGCAGTTCAGATACTATCTGTGCCTAAAGGACTTATTTCATGGGCAATCATGAGGATTCAGTAATAAATGAAAACATTTTGTACCTGGCTACATGATTTCTACATATTGAAGCAACAAATTCTCCTTGAGACTGTAACAACGTTCGTTTAAAAGGAACCTACCGCATCTCAAAGTTGTTGTTCTTCTAAGTCAGTGTTCTCTACTTCAGCTCTGGCTCAGAAGCACTTGGCAAGCTCATTATATTTGAAGATAAGCAGGTCCAAATCTCAAGGAGAGGACCCAATTCAGATGACACTAAGGGTGATATCACATTGGCCACATTGGAAGGGCCCTGTAGGATAAAGGCTCTTCTCCTACACCACATAATTTTGTGTGTGTGCCAGTCCTGGGGCTTGAGCTCAGGGCCTGGGCCCTGTCCCCAAGCTTTTTCACTCAGGGCTAGTGCTTTACCAGTTGAGCCACAACTCTACTTCTGTCTTTTGTGGTGGTAAATTGGAGATAAGAGTCTCATGAGCTGGCTTCCAACTGTGATCCTCAGATCACAGCCTCTTGAGTTGCTAGAATTATAGGCATGAGACACTGGCGTTGGGCTATATACACTAATATTTCAAAAAAAAACTTACAAAAGTCTACTAAATATCAAGATACTTATCTTGCTATTCATCTTCTTGTCAGGTAAGTCGAGGTAATCAGAAAATAAACTTTATCTAGTCATCTAATTAATACAGATGCATTTTGTTCTGTTTCCACATCAAAATAACTATGAGAATACAATCCCTGATTTGTTTATAATATTAATTAGTTCTGGTAATTGATGGGATAAAAAGTATGTTCTGATATTAAAATAAAAATTGAAAGCATTTTATAAATAGCACTTTACCAAAGGATAGTCATACCTTCCCCCAAAAGACTAGCTCTCCAACATTCCACTGTACTTAGAATAGAAAGAAAAGTAAAGGAGAATCTTTGGATAAGAAAATGAATTAGGTCCTGGCAAAAAAATATTTCATCCGGGGATGCCAAACACACATACATGAAATAATCAAGCAACTCAACAAACAGAGTATAATAAAATATTCCCTGAGTCATAATTCTGGCTCAAAGACTGACCAGCTGTGTGAGCAGGTCAGAGCCTCATTCTCCTCATCTTTGTTGGGAAGGAAGGTTATTGAACTACCTCAAATTGTGCAGCTCTGACTTTTCACAGAAATAAACAATAGAGCCCCAATCTCCTATACACTTTGAGTGGTGCTTGCTTAGAATGGAGTAGAACAAATCATAGAAAGGCTTTTGTAAGGTATTGGATTTGAGATCATTCTCAAAGAAAGTGACAACTATGAATTAAGGCAGAGAAAAAGTCAAAGGGAAAAAAATAAAGGTTCTAAATGATCAGTTTAAATACAATATGTCCCACTCAGAAATGATTTATCTATCTTACATGATCGATGACCTCTATTTTTTGTATTTTTTTAGAAAAAGAGTGCTTATGATGAGAAGTACTCAGATCTTGAGAATGACAACGATTCAAGTAAACAGATTTTCCATTTAATTTCAGATTCTATAGTATTTAGCTGGCATTATTCAAATTTAAAACATTTAGAGAGTTACATATTTCAGATTGTTGGAGAATCAAATAAAAGAATGGTTATTGGGCTGGGAAGGTGGCTCAATGGCAGAAGGATTGTCTGGCATGCATGAGGCCCTGGGTTCGATTCCTCAGCACCACCTAGGTAGAAAAACCTGGAAGTGGTGCTGTGGCTCAAAAGTGGTAGAGTGCTAGCCTTGAGCTTAAGAGCTGAGGGACAGCACCCAGGCCCAGAGTTCAGGACCCACAAATGACCAAAAAAAAAAAAGAATGGTTGTTAAT